TATTTTGCGAAATGATCAGTTCCAGTCTTGACAAAGATAACGTGAGTTAAAAAAAATGATCTTTAAATATTATGCAACTTGTTTCTTAGAAAACAGCTAAAAGTTACAACCAGTGGTTAAATTTCCAAAATATCAAGTGGTGTTGAATTTCTGATGTTCTTAGCGAAAGCGAATCCCAATATCTCCGCCATTTTTAACTTTATGTCAAACTTTTCCATTATTTTGACTTAAATTTGATGTTTAACAAATGAATTCTGAACCACCACCATAAATGAAATCAATAAGGCTCATGTCGATTTTAATCAACATTTGACTTTGATTTTGACATTAACGTTGCGGTGGAAGAATCTAAGGTATTCCGGTGATTCGGGTCACAAAAAGGGAACGGTCGCAGGAAAAAATTAAACCCGAGCGAGAGTGACCGACACGGGCAGAAGTGAAAGAAGATCCGCCGAGATTATTGATGAATTTCGAGTACGTGACGAAAATGCGAGTACTCGCCCGTCCATCCTCGTTAACGCTTGGAGGTCACCAATAATTAATTATTATTATTTAATTAGCTTTTCACAGCCTACTTAGCAATACAAGGATGGAAAGGCGCGAACGTTATTCAGCCGTGCCGCTCCGCTAAAAACTCTAATGGGCGTAGACGTGTGCACAACATTCATCTCCGATTCGAAAACAGCGCACCGCAGAACGGGTACCCGAGGTCAATATTTCATTTAATGTTTAATTGGGATTTTTCCTCGGGATCCAGTCCGATGCGGAAAATTAATAATTCGAGTTTATCCGTCTGAGAGCCATGTAGGTGTGCTAATGGTCCGACATCGCCCGTGGGTTACGATGCTTTGCTGGAGATCCAGGAAATAATGTAATACAAACTACGGCAATAATATACGCAACAAAGTGAGGGTTCTACAATATACAGAGTGTCCCCGAAAATGATGGACAACGCTTGACCACGGGTTCCTTGGATGAAAATAAGACTATTTAGCCTAACTTACCTATACAGGTTCGGAAAGTCCCCATGGTACATCGGCCGTTACGTGAGTGCGATAAAGTAAGTCATAGAAATCCGTGCGATAGACAAGGATGGTTACAATTGAAGACGTTTCATAATCTGAATAGTCACTCCCACTTCTAACCCGAAACGGGCGGTGGCTATTCAGATTATGAAACGTTTTCACTATAATCATCCTTGTCTACCGTACGGATTTCTTTACTTTACTTTGTCGCTCTCATGTAAAGGTAGATGGACCATGTGGATTTTCCAACCCTGTATACGAAAGTGCACGCCTACTGAGATATAACCTTCTAAATATATAACCTAGTTTTTTCAAATAATTTGAAAACTACTTTTCTTAGAATCTTCAAATTTGGTACAAATATTTTTTCATATAAGATTTTAGAAGATTTTTTTGCTTTTACAAAATTTTGATATCGTTTGTGGATTTCGAGTAAAATTGGCATTTTTTATAGTCAAAAATTCCCATTTTTTAAAAATCATTTATAACTACAGCCTCAAAGCAGGGAATAATAATGAAAAAACGACATATTAAAAAAATAACTACACATTTTTAGTCTTAGTATTATCAATTATCAAAAATAAGCACTAGTAGTTTAAATAAACAATATCAACTAATAATGAGAAAGTCAACATTAACATTTTAAATAAACCTATACTGATATTATAACATTAATTTCATTTTGTATTATTTCCCATAATTCGTTTTCTGTATTTACTGAAAAGTTATAAACTGTTGTCCTCAACTCCTCCCAAAGGAAATAATTACATGGGTTTAGGTACGGGGATCGAGGTGGCCATTTTAAAGGGGCATTATTTCCTCTACCTATCCAGCTGTTAGGATAGTAACATGGAACTTTTTGAAAGCCAACCTCTACCGCTAAACGCCTTGTACTTACTTGCGGAATTTCTTCGACCTTTTCCAAAATTTGTTCCTCCAGCTGAATAGTTCCTGCCGAACGTTGTCCACGATTTAATGTTATAGGTGAACAACGCCCTGTTTCCTGAAGGCGTCTCTCCCCATTAGCAAATGTTTTGTGATTTGCAATTCTTCGATTAGGAAATCTTTCAGCATATGTTCGACACAACAATTTCCCTCACAATAACCCAAAACTAATAACATATCAGTTTGTTCAGCAAAAGTATAAATTGCAATAAAAAACAAAGTAAGCTAAAATTAAATCACACCTAGATTGACACTGAACCTTTTAATTATTGTTATGAATTTGTTTCTTTGTTACATGGCAAAAAATGTAAATTTTACTCGAAATCCATAAACGATATCAAAATTTTGTAAGAGGCAAAAAATCTTCTAAAATAGTGCTTATTTTAAAAAATATAAATTCTGTCGTCTGTGGCGGACACACAAAAAAGTTACGGGATAGCCAGTGGCGCACAGGCACTAGAAAGAGAACATCCTGTATATGTATTCTCACTAGATTCTGTATTTACATTGCCCTTATATAAAAAAATATATATATACCAAATTTGAAGTTTCTAAGAAACACAATTTTCAAATTATTTGGAAAAACTAGGTTATCTGTTCTATATTTAGAAGGCTATATCTCAGTAGGCGTGCACTTTTGTATATAGGAAAGTTAGTCTAAACAGTCTTATTTTCATTCAAGGAACCTGTGGTCAAGCGTTGTCCGTCGTTTTCAGGGACACCGTGGATATCCAAATTATTTAAGTTGTAATAATTTTCCTAGTTCTGTTACAGTTCTTAGGAGTAAGGAAAAGAATTTGGAACAAGATAAAAAAGTTCACGGATAGCAGTTTACCGTAAAAAATGTCCTAGTAACGAACGAAAATAGTTAATCCTCGATTTGACCTGTTAAGTTATTTTAAAATTATTATACGGTCTGTAAAAAATCCTATGCTTGTTCTGTTGTTAGTTTAGCTCTTTGAAAAAATGTTTCTGTGTATTTCGTGCTTAATTTTGTTCTCACAATGTTCCTAGGATTTGATTCAGTCCCTAAAGGAATAAAAAATTACCAATTTCTAATACTGAGGTTAAAATAACCACCAATCATCAAACTTAAGAACTATAACTTTAGCCACTTTGTCAAAAAATCTATAGAAATAACGATAAAAACTGTATTCGTTGCTCAAGAGTTACATTGGATAAGATATCTGAAAGATCGTCTTTCAATTTCTTTAAAAACCTGTGAAGAATGAAGACAAATCGTGACTTGTTGGGATGTCGACTGTTCATAGTTATTTAAAAATCAATGCAATAGATGGCGTAGTGTATTTCATTTGACGTAAAACAAATGGCGCGTGCTCATTGCTATTTAGTAATTCGAGAGAGATTGTATTTGGGGAAAGTTTATTATTTCACCATTGACAGAATTTTTTTTATTTCAATACTTCAATGCGTTTTTTGTCATTTTCTTGTGAAATTTAACTATTATTTCAAGCCATGAAATTATAATAAACAATTTTCGCAGTTGATAATGCTGAAAATTGTTAAAAGAAGGCCGACTTTGTCGAATAATACGTTGACTTGATACGTGTTAAATCTTTGTTTTTAAACTCTGAGTTTGTTTCGACGCTTTGGACAAAAACCAGCTCGACTATTTGGGGATTTTGCCGTGTTACTTCGTTATCTTCCGTTTCAAAGGGTCTTCAGAAAGCCTTGCTAAGTTACTAGATGGTTACATATAATATTTATTTTAATAACTATTGCCCTTTACTGGTTACGATATGAACAAATATTAATATTAACTAATAATTAATAACACGTATTATACCAACAATAAATATACCACGCCAAACACTGCTCTCTACGGCACTGACAAAGCCACCAAACTAATTATAGAATACCATGCAAAAAATTATTTATGACCCAGTGGACCAATACAGGTTTGCTTTGACGACCAGCGCGTCACCGTCCATTCTACATCAGGCGGACTGGCTACCAATACCGGTCTCCCCCAATGGCTATTCGAGTATAAATTAGAAGATTGCTAAAGCATATGAAGAAATTTCAAGCGAAGTGCAGACGGTCCTGTGCTTTAAGATTCACATGGTCCAATTGATATCGTAACAACTATACCTAAGCTTTCGTTTGACTCCTGGTATATTTTTCTACCTCAACTGTAAGTCAAGATATTTGATTTTGGAACACCTCTTCTGAAAATAATACAATGTGCGCCGCATGTTAAAAACTGTAGACGCTCTAGAGAGAAAGGGCTAGAATTTGGGTACTCGTCTCCTCTCTCTCTCTCTCTGTGTGTCTATAATCGTTGTGGAAGGAGTTGCATTAACCAATCACATGCCTGCTAGAGAGAGAGAGAAGGATGGTATCCAAACTATCTCATTATCTCTCTGACACTCGTCTACACTGTTACTGTAAGCGTGCTTCTTCCATTAGTATATGCTCTAAGTTGTTCTCAATTTCATAATAAAGTAACTAATAGTGCAATAGCTTGATGAAAAACGGAAGGTGCTTTATATTAAAGAGTTCATAACTTCATTATGTAAACAAAAAGCATAAGACAGTACAATGAGTATCGTGTTATAGTTGTCGTAGGTAAAGAGCGATAATCCCGCTCGGCCCCGCTCCATCCAGAGTCATATATCCGGCTAAAGATATTGACGCGAATAGGAGGCATCAGGAGACGGGTTGTATTTCATTTAGTAAAGAACAGGTGGCGCGATTTAGAAAATTAAAGAAGTGCTATAGATGGCAGATCGTATTTGATTTGTTAACAGCATTTGGAGTTTATTGGTTATTTTAATCCTGTAATTGGAAAGGATAAATTACCAGTGATTTAAAACTGAAAATGTTATCGATAGCGTAGCTTATAAAACTAATGTCAACTTTTTAATGCTTTGTTTCAATATACTTACTTCAGAAAAAAAGTCAAGGAAACCTTGAACCAAGAACAAAGTTCATTTCGCTATTTTCACCACCATTGAGACATGATCATGACTAACTTCACTAACTACAATTTATAAAAGTAAAACATACCTGTACATATTCGGCACATATATCGATGTTCGAGACGAAATTGCACACATCGTCCACGGTCCAGCTGGAGATATCCTCGTGTAGTTTTGGACTCTCACTCTCTGCCCTTCTAGGAGCTGGAGCGCCGCTCCCGTAGCTCGGACTACTCGACGAAGGCGTCTTTATCCTGGGCTTCTTGGCGGGAGGCGCCGCTGAGGAAAGGTCCAAAGGCGACGAGGTGTCTTGTCTTTTCACATTCTTCAGCAGACCCTAAAACGAGGAAACAAATTTAGTAACAAAACATTTTTCGAAATAGATGATTTCTTCTTGCCTGGAGTTCCGCCTCTTTGGCACTCCTCACCATAGCCAGGAGTGTCTGGGTGGTGGACATGTCTATCAGGGGCGGGAATATGGCGGCTCCGGTGACGCCGACGAAGGGGTTGAGCACGGGGAAGTCGGTTTTCTTGTTGTTCGATTCGTTCTCTTTATTTTGGGGGGCTGCGAGGGAGGGTAAGAGGTTCGGGAATGACGGTTTGAAGCGGGGGTCCAGGGGCGGGGGGAATCCGTTCCTCGCTGCGTTGAAGTAGCTGAAACCAAGCAGATTTTCTTATGAGAACGTATTTTGAAAATTTATAAAAATAATTATTCTTTTTGCTCTTGTCCAGGAACTGATAACGAAGTACTAAGTCTCTTTTCAAATGGATGTTCCTCAGAAGAATGAAGAAGAAACAAGAAATAAAATACACGAAAGAAGTTCCCGTTGATAACACAGGCCGACAAAATTTCAAAAAAAAAAGTTCCAGAAATCAGACACTATGCTTCCGAAGTCATTTTTCGCTCTGAATTCGAATCTGGCCTTAGAATTGTTCCATCACCCTAGGTTTCCGAGATATTCTAACCTAAAAGTGTAAAAAACACGTACTTTTGCTATATTCAAGGTTATGTAACTTGGCGAAAAAAAATTTTTTTCTCAAAACTGAAAACATCATTGGAAACGCATTTTTTTATTTGGAAAAAGCTCTATTTTTCGCGGAGATATCGTCAATTTAAGATGACCAGTATGGCTATATTATTACATCATGGCTAACCCCATAACACTGAGGGCTGCTAGCCCTAATTGTTAGGAACGTTAACCCCAAGCCCTATAACCCCACAACACTAAACGGAGCAAGCCTTCATCGTCAGGAAGGTTAACTTCAAGCCCTATAACCCAATAACACTAAGCGCTGCGAGCCCTAATCGTCAGGAAGGTTAACCCCAAGCCCTATATGTCTGGAAGGTTAATCCCAAGCCCTATTGGGTTATTGGGTTATTTGGGTTATTGGGGTTAACCTTCCTGACATATAAGGCTCGTAGCGCTTAGTGATATTGTGTTATAGGTCGAGCCATGGTAATAAGGTAGCTATACTGATCATCTTTAATCGACGATATCTCCGCGGAAAATAAAGCTTTTTACAAATAAAAGGTTTTGAAGGGGAAAGATAGTAGTTTCCAATGATATTTTCAGTTTTGAGAAAAAAAAATTTTTCGCCAAGTTACATAACCTTAAAAATAGCAAAAATACGTGTTTTTTGCACTTTTAGGTTAGAATATCTCGGAAACCTAGGGTGATGGATCAGATTCGGATGCAGCGCGCCAAATGCCTTCGGAAACGTATTGTCTGATCTCTGGAATTTTTTCCTTGTTGGCCTGTGTAATTCATTCAATCCTTGCCAAGCTATCCTTGTAAACGATAGTTAATTTATTTCCACTTTCTAAAGATAGAACTTCATAAATGTCAAAACCTGAATATTTTTTCTCGGTGTTATTTCTTCCATCATTTCGTAACTAGTTTCCTTTCTTGTGGTAACGTTCCTTTAGAACAACGTTCTTCATTGTTAAGTTTGTTTTAAAATATACCTAGTTCAGATTTAATTCAGTTGTTGAGGTCAAAACAACTACCAACATAACTAGAAAATATGAGACAATTCATAGCTACATTGATTTGCATTTCATTCCTAGTTTTGTTATTGAAACGTTTCTAGGATTTAATTCAGTTCTTGAAGTGAAGGAATAGACTACAAGCCCATCGGAAATTTTCAAGGGGTCATTTGACCCAGCATGAATTACTTAAATTTTCGGAAAATCAGAAATTTTCCTGGCTTCCGGTATTGCTATTTTTGTACGGCATTAGGCTGAGGTTAATTTTTTTTGTATAACCTATATACTTTAGAAATGCGGTACAAAAATGTTTTGCCGAAAACCACTCCTCCCTTGGTGGACAGGTTTAGTTTACCTGTGTACTCACCTGTACCAACAAGAATTGACAGCATAGTTTCTAAAGTTATTGTTATATGTGGTAGTATTGATTTATAAGTAATTCATGCTAGGTCAAATGACCCCTTGAAAATTTCCGATGGACTTGTAGTCTAAACGGTTGTAAGTTTCTGATTCTAATAAGCACCACATCCATATGAAGTACATATTTTTGTTTTCAGTTTCTTCGAAAAACTACTAATAATAAAAGCAGAATCTGTAACTTTACAAAGACAACGTACTATTTAAAAAAAATTGGATAAATAGCGTATTGTACTTCATTTGGTGAAGAACAGATGGCGCCTTATATGTTACCACAACAGTTCATAACTTCACACATACAAACAGCTGAAGAAAAGTTGCTCTTTGGTTGTGGGTAAAGCAAAAGAGCGATAATCCCGCTCGACCTCACTGCATCCGAGATCATATATCCTGCCAAGAATATTGGCGCGCGTTCTTCAGTTCCTTCATAGAATCGCGAGAAATAGTATAAAAAATAGTGACTTACTCATTGGGATTGGCGTTGTTGTACTTGGCGGCTAGACTCCTCATGAAGTCGCTGTAGTTCCTGCCCGAGACAGCGGCGGGTAGCAGGGGATTCTCCACAGCCGGAGGTGTGTCCGGATGGGAAGCAGAACTAGGGGTAACCGAGCGGGACCTGCTAGAGGTGTCGGGAGTGCCGGGGCTCAGCCTCTCCGACTTAACGTGGTTGTTGTTGTTGTGCAGGGCGTAGTCCGACGCGGTGATGGGGGTCGCGATGGGACCGTTGTTGTTTACGGAACGGTCCATACGTCTCCTCCGCATGGGTTTGGTGGCCTGGTGGATCTGCGTGGGCTCCAAGCCTTCAGCCGTAGACGCCGTCTCACCTGGAAAAATAAATGAAGGTTATATTACACATCTAGGCATAAAACAACAAAATTAAGAGAAAAGTTACTTTCTACAGTCTTCATAAATGATTACAAGCCACGTGACTAAGAACTTAGACCACCAACATTGCAAGGCTGATATTATCAACTAAAAATGATTCGTTTACAATGAACAATGACAAACCGTTACGTTTACGCTCGAGATAATGCGATCACTGATTGGTTAAATAAAATCTCATGAGCAATTACACCAATCTATAGCCGTTGAAACAGATTGTCGTGTTTTAATGTAATACTGATCTTATTCGTTTAATAATTTTTAATTTTACCTAAATTTAATTGCCAACGTGAAGGAAATAGAGTTACTGGTCATGTGGCTTGTTTTTTTTACGAAGGCACCACTTACTTTCCCTGTTTCTTAATAAAATTATTGTTTGTTATTAACAAAATTTATATTTTTACATTTTGTGTGAATTACAGAAAAATTACAAAATTATAAGCATAATTTAGTGTAAATTAGTAATTTTTAATAAAATTTGTATCTGTACAAATTTTAGACTGTTTCTATCCTATTTATAATGGTTTCATTTTATTAATGTTGTAAATTTTCGCTATAAAATGGAAATTATTGAAAGTAAAGTGTTATTTTTACACTGAAAAAACAATTACTTTCTATTAAAGCAATCGGTTGTTTTGAATTCAGTTAGTTTGCATTTATGCTGGTTACATTGAGTTAAACCAGTTACATTCAATTCCATTTATTTGATTTGTTTGAATTAAAAAAAGAAACAGTTTACAATAGATTTGTCTATAATTAACAAATTAGATTTAATATAATCATTTATGATTTTAGAATATTTGTTATGCAAATTAAAAGAATAAATTTTTAATACAAATTTATATTCGTTTTTATTTAATAAATATTATTTTATATTGGCCTATCTAACATTACAATTAAACTTTAAAGGAAAATTATTCCAAATATATAATTTCTTAAATGTGAACCAGCTGGTTATAAAAGTTAAATTTTTATATAGTTTAAAACTATTATCAGTTCAATAGTAAAATATATTATTTAAAAATTATTCCAATCACGTGACCAAGTTGTGTTCTCCCCTGACAGTCGTATCTTCGCCATCATGGCGACTATGTATGCAAGCTGCCTGTAGTGTATTGTTTAGTTCAGTAGGCTAGTATGGACCTCGG